TAAGTGAAAAAGTATGAAATTTATTATTAGACACAAATAAATTCATCTGTTAAGCTAAACATGTCCCTTCATTAAAAGCTTTCTATTAAGTAAAAATAAATTTTAGGTATATTTTTATTACTTTATTTTATGTACCTCTCCTTTCTTTTGATAATGTGAAATGTTTGACAAATAATTTATTAGTAATTTAACACTTGGTTAGAGATATAGAGAAAAGATTCTTCATTTCAGTCCCAAAAGTAATTTAAAGGCCCATTTCTTTAAATTGATATCTCTGTGCCATTAGTGTCCTTTTACATTTTATAATGATAATAAGATCATTATATAGATTCAGCTACAAATCAGTCCAGTTTCTCACTGATAGTAACAATAACATCATTTTTACATACCTCCATTCTTAAAGTGACCACATTCAGTTCCAAAGAATTGTAGATTAGAGTAAGTATTATTATCCCCCTGTGGAAGAAACTGATAGTGATATTTAGTAGACTTCCAAGGTTGCCTAATTTGTTAAGTAGTGGAACCAAAATTTGAATATAATTGTGATTACATAAAAATTCATGAGCAAAATCATGAAAATAAAATGTTTCACGTATTGCTGTGAATGAATTTATTCATTTAACTTCTCTAATGACTTGACTTTAAGATGAGTAAAATGAAGCACTGGAACCACATTTTGCCCAAAGGCACCAGGAGGTAGATAGGATAGCTAAAATTATGGATTGAAGGAGAAAAACTTTGCAGTCTTTGTTCCTCACCAGTATTCTGTATTGGTGTTCTATTGAATTGAATTGAATTCTATTGTATTGAATTGCTATTTAGTGTTCTTCTGAGTTAATGATTGAAAATTTCCCATGAGGTATGAGCAATTTTAGAAAATCCATCGGGGACCTTTTCCGGGAAAGTTTCAAAGATATTAGTGACACTTGATTATGCTTACCTACTACTGAAAATAGGTGGTATACAAATTAATGAGATTCTTACTTCCAGAAATGTGGAAGAAAGGATGGTAGTTTCTCCAGAGTGGTTATAGGCTCTTATGGCAAGTGTCTTTTTGTCTCTTCTGTGTGAAGAATTATTTCAGCATTACTTTAGCCATAAGCCAAAAGTTGCAGGAAAGGAAAAGAAAAGCAATTTATCTTTTTTCCACAATAAATGAAAAGAGTAAAGAATATCTCCTATTAATTGAATTTCATGCTATGTAATGTGTACATGGAAGTAAGAAAAACACATAACACAGCTTTCAAGAGTGGAGTGAATTAACAGAGACCCTAACCTTGAAGAAGAGATACTTCTAAATAGTTTGATGAAGGAATCAGGACAAATATGAATTTCTTTGTCTCATATAGATCTTTACATTTTATTGGTCCTTTTTCTGTGTTAACCTAAATTCAGCTATATAAATATCTCAAGTCAAAAAGATGTGATTCTTCAAGTATCAACTATGGTTTTAAAATCAATAGAGTTGCTAATTTGTGTAAAAAGTAAGGAGGACAAAAGGTACATGCCTCACCTCTTAGTCCAGACCTTCTGAATCTGAATCTTTAGGAGATTCTTAATTAGGAGCAGAATATTTTTAAAAAGGTTTTTAGGTGATTCTTCTGCAGGATGAAGATAAAGATTCTGCCCTAAGTCACTTGTCATTGAACTCAGCATTGGATTCAGTCTAATAAGTTGCCATTTGATCTTCTACCCCATTCATTTACTAAATTACTGTCATCTATGGAAGAATTGATAGTAAATTTAATAGGTTAATCAAGACACAAAAGTTTTACGCCTTGCATTCCTATTTTCTGGCTTGTTTAACATTTTGCAGATCGAAATTGAGCTATCAGCGAATGATTTTGACTCCTTTACAGTGAATTTCTGAGATATGCCTATTCAGCAGTGAGCAGTAAATGGTTCAACATGAGCTGTTCCTTATGTAAACATACAAAAGGCCTGCCCAGACTAAATCAATTTAAAAAAGGAAAACATTAAAGCTATGTTTCCTGTTATACACTTAAAGTCTTTGGTTCCTTATGATTACATTATTGACCAACTATTGCAGACTTTAGTTTGTCCTCCCACACCACCTGTTGAATGGTTTAAATAGTTTGAGAGAAGACAGAAGAGGGAAGCAATTATAACTTTAGCTCCTATATTTTAGTCAGTAAAGTAGTTTTTCATGTTCAATGTAAGTTAGTTTGAGCCTCTCAATTCACCCTATCTTCTGATTTGAATTACTAAAAAGGTTTTAAAGGCTGAAATAAAGAGACAGATGAGAGTTCATACAGCTTTTAGAAGTAATGTGAATTTGCAATCCTGATTTTTGATAGCAAACATTTCTAGGAAGAATTTAATTAGGAAATGAAGGATTAATACAATGCTTTTTATTGTAAATTATTTACATTGCATTTTAAAGCCAGCCATTGTTAATATGAGGCATCCTAGCTCTTACTTATGATTCTTTTCCTTGGATTAAATTCCTAGCAAGATACCATTCTTTAGAATAATGTTTTCATTTCTGATGTTCTGAAACCATAGTGTATGAAGCAAAGTTCTTCAATAAAGCAGACTTTCAATTTTTGCTACTGATTTTCTAGTAAAATATCTAAGTTGCCTTGTGCTCAGAGGATATAGTCTATAAGATATTAATCCACTAAAATATGTTGAACTTAACTTTATTACTTAACTGATGATTAACTTTTATAAATGTTCCTTTTTGTTGGAGAAAAATATATATTCTCCAATTGTCAGGTTATATGTTCTATATTATCAAAGTTGTTAATTAGATTTTCAAATTATCTGTACTCTTTTAATTTGCTTAGTCCATTACTGAGAGGGATAGGTTAAAATTTCCTATGGGTGATGATAGATTCATTGTTTCTGTACAACTATCAGGTTTAGTATTTAAAAAAAATATTTTGTACTAAATTTTTTTTTAACTGTTGTGGAGCTTGAACTTTGGGTCTGGGTGCTGTCCCTGAGCTCTTCAGCTCAAGGCTCGCACTCTACCACTTGAGCCAGAGTGCCACTTCTTAAAAAAAAATATTTTGAAGTTAATTTTTCAAGTAAATTTGGAATTGTGTTCAGTGTTTGGGATGAAATTGAGGGCTTACCACATATGCAATGTACACACTCATACTACTGAGGTATATATGTACCATAGTTCTGGAATTATCTTAACTTTCATTTGTACTGAATCATTATTCAATCTAGTCAAATAGTTGTTAACTAGAGTATCCTGATTATTATAATGTCAGCATTCTTTATGTATTCTTACTACATCTTTCTATTGTTCAACTTTGTTTTTTTTCTTGCATCCTAATTTTTTTATTTATTTAAAAATTATATTTTCTGTCTGTTGTTTTCCAGGTTCCTAGCTAGTTAATAAATTCTGAAGTTAATCTTTTTTCTTCCTAACAATACTATTACCTTCTCTTTTAAGTTTATATACTTTATTATCAGTGTCTTGTTTTTACCCTTCTCTCAGTTTAGACATTATTTTAATTATTACTGATGGAGATAATATTGGTTAAAAGTTTATCAATTTCTTACTGCTACTTCTGAGTATTCTTTGGCCTGTTTAGCTATGAGATTTTTTGGTATTTTTGTACAATTACAAAATAATTCTCAGACTTCCTCTCTTCAAATAAGGCCTCTTCCCCTAGTTTTTGTATTTTTGCCCTCAAGATCTAACTAGACATTTTTAAAACTTTCTCCCTTTACTCTCTCCGTATTTTAACATTAATGTGCAAGATACCTTTGTTTTTTTAATTGCATTTTGGATTCCTTCAAATCTTTTAATGTGCCATTACTTTAGTTGAGTTTAATCTGCTTGAGTTTTCAATTTAATTCTATTCTTATATTTGTAGTTCTACATTGTTCTGAGTTCTTGTATCTTCATTTTTCCTATTTTGAGAATATAATTTTACTGTTTGAACAAAATTTTATATCTACTAGTGTACTATTTAAAAGTCTTGGAGGATGTATTCTTACTACTTTTGCTGTGTTTCACTCATCATACCTTAGTATGCTATGTGGGTAAGTTGTAAATTTTGTCTGTGAATGTCCCATTTCATGTGGAGCCTAATCTGGGAAAATTCTTCAAGTTGAAATGGTGCTCATTCCAAGAGTATTTGTTTTTACCTTAGCCATTGTCATCTCACAGAACTGTCAGATTTCCAGATTGAAATTTTGTTCTTATCAAATTTGAATCTCAATCCCTTAAGTTCTGTGCATTCATTCCCTTTTCTAACAATACAGTGAAATCCAAAGGAAGGGAGAAGATTAGCATTGTGAAAGGATTTTAAGGAAAAAAAATAAAAACAAAATGCATAGCTTTGCTATCTCTCAGCATCTCTGAATTGTTTTCTCTTTGGTAGAAATGTTCATATAGAACCTGAAATCATCTCTGCAATTAAAAAACATAGCAAAAGTATTTAGAATAAGAGTAAAGTTCTGGAATAATATAAGAAACCCTCATGTAGATTATACTTGATAAATTTTGAATCCCTTATAAATCATAATATATAATAATCTTTTAATGTCTGTCTCAAAGAGCTAATTAACCCACTTTATTAATCTGAGTAATCATTAATCTTGATTATCAACTTCATTGAATTGGAAATTTTAGATTCCTAAAGCACAACTCTGGATATATCTATGAGATATACATTTCTAGAGAGAAAGAATTCAAAGAAGACCTTCAAATGTGAACATCACTATCACATAAGTTGGAGAGAGCACATTAATGCAGACATTTTCTTTCTCTGTATCTTGGAGCCATCTTGTGATCTGCTGCTTTCCTCCAAGCCTTCTCTACTATAAAAAACTGAACCTCTGACATTGTGTGATCTAAAATAACTCCCTTTTTTTTTCCCAGGCATTTGAAAACAGTAGTAATGTGAAGTAGACAACATAATTTGAAATCATTAGAAATGGTAGCAGTATTTACTAGTAAGCAAAATAAGCATAGAGTGTTGATTTTTACCTGCTTATTTTAATTGCCTTTACAGGAGAGCTTTGAACTTAGGAATTCTTCGAGATCCTGGGTCAGAAATTGAAGATAGACAATACCAAATAGACCTGCAGTCCATCAATATTGGTACTGCTCAATGGGATCAGCTAAAACCAGAAAAAAAAAGTGCCACAGGGGGTGTGTTAACAGAGAATGAAAGGAATTCTCAAAATCCAGCCCTTGAATGGAATATGGCCAGCAGGTAGGAAATGATTGAGAAAGTTTCATACTCTAGTTTCCTTGTAAGAACAATTGGTGATCTTTACATACCTAAGTGTTTTAGTATTCCTTCCATTTTTATTACAAAGATAAAATATATTTTGTAATTGTAATGGATGCTTTTGCTTGGAAACTTACTAGTCCTACCAGTGTTGCATTGTAATAATTACACATTTTGAATTGTGTCAGATTTTTTTTGATGTTAATATTTGATGGAGAGATCCACTTCAGGTTAAAAAAAATACATTTGTATTTTCACTTGAAACCTGTCATATTTGGGGTCAGGTTTTTATCATTTATTTTAGCTTTTCTGGTCTACTTAAAATTCAAAAAAGATAAAAGTAAAAAATACAATGTAAAGTTTTGTGCTTTCTCTTTCTCTTTAACCAAAGCAGCTATGTTAACAGAAAACATGTCTAAAAATTTGTCCTGAAAATGATTTGTAGAGAACCACTGCTATCTTACTCAAGAAATGGTTTACTAAAAAGAAGGTAATAGGAGTTCAAGATAATTTTATATTGCAAGATTATAGCTTTCTACTAACAAACCACTAAGGTGTAAAGTTCTGTGTAGAAGCATGCATAGCCGTCCATTATAAATTCCAGGGTAGGCAAACATCTACTGAGCTACCAGTAGGTAATTTAAATCACAGCTGAGGAACGTATATTTTCATCCTTAGTGGAGTGCCTGAGTAACACACCACAGCATTCTGTACATGGACCCTAATCTCTAGAAGTTGAATAATGTCAACCAGCATGATGCCCCCTCAGTTATCTTTTTCCTTGTTTTTAAATTTAACAGGTATCATCTCATGAAACTTAAAAGAACAGCATGTCTCAAAAAGTCACAAATTATATTATCAATAAAAAGATGAGCCTATTTTCTATGTTGTCCTAGTATTTATGGTCAATAAATGACCCATAGTTACCTAGCCTTAACTCAGTTATACCTCTCATATTCATTCTTTAATGTATTTAACAAACTGTATTGGATACCTGACTTGTGTTTGTGTTTTAATAATTGAAATGAAATTCATGTTACATAAAATTAACTATTTTAGGTAATTCTTCAATGCCATTTAGTATTGCATAATATTCAACAGCACTAATTCTATCCGGTTCCAAAACATTTTCCACTTTTTTTTTTTGTCAGTCATGGGGCTTGAACTCTGGGCATGAGTGCTATCCCTCAGCTTTTCAGCTCAAGGCTAGTGCTCTACCACTTGATCAGGGCCACTTCTGGTTTCTGGCAGTTTATTGGAGATAAGAGTCTCTCACAGACTTTCCTGCCTCGGCTGGCTTTGGACCATGATCCTCAGATCTCAGCCTCCTGAGTGACTAGGATTACAGGCATGAGCCACCAGTGCCTGGATTTCCTCATGTTTAAAACCCCTTTTCTGTTCGGCAATTTCTCTTCATCATTCTTCTGTTCCTAGACTTTTGCCATCCACTAATGTATATTCTACTGTATGTATGTATCATAATATGTTTCTCCATTGGTGGGTATTTGGGCCATTTTCACCTTGCAGCTATTGTAATTTGAATTACCTGATTGAGTATATTTAAGTATAAGTAGATACCTAACAGTAAAATGGCAGGGCCATGGTAATTGTATGTTCAGCCTTTCTGAGGAACTACCAGATTGTTTTCCACAGAGCAGAACTGGAGAACTATTTGAATTCCCAACAGCAGTATTCAAAGGTTCTACTTACTTTGTCCACTTTTTCTCCCTTTCTATCTCTTCTCTGTCTCTCTTTCTGTTCTCTTTCTCTCTCTCTCTCTTCTCTCTCTCTCTCTCTCTCTCTCTCTCTCTCTCTCTCTCTCCTCTCATTAGACAAATGTTTTACTACGTAAGCCTATGTCCCAAACTTTTCTGTTATAGGTTATTGCTTTGTTTTTGCCGGGGTTATCCTTGAACCTCATTCCTCCTACTTAAGCCTTCCACATAGCTGGAGTTCGAGGCCTTTATCAAAAGCCTGATGTCATTTTTATGTATAATTCACAATTGGTGTTCCTATACCAAATATACATCATTAATTACAGCCACAAAGGAGATTTCCTATTGTTTTTAATTTTCCAGGGAGATCTCTGTTATTTTTCCACCAAAAAACTGCTTCCTTGGCTTTTCAGGGTCCTCAGATGTACATTTTCTCAATCTATTTCCCTGGTTTAATAAGTGGGATCCTCTGGTCATCCTGCTCTATGAAACGGCACTCCTATCCTCTGGCTTCAGCCTGGAGGATCCACAGACCCACGCAAACCGCATCTACAGGATGATTAAACTCGGGCTAGGTATTGATGAGGATGACCCCACCGCCGACGACACCAGTGCGGCTGTGGCAGAGGAGATGCCGCCCCTGGAAGGAGACGATGATACCTCACGCATGGAGGAAGTGGACTAGGCCCGTGAGCTCCACACGCACCTTCATTCCCTCTGATGATACCCCCAGGATTGTGTTTATTTTTGTTAACATTTAAAAAGTCTGTATAGCATGACAACTACTTAAAGGGGAAGATAAGATTTCTTTCTACTTGTGATACTGTGACACCGTAGGCGAAGATTAGTAATGCTTTTTTTCTAGTTTCACCTTGGTTTTGGACAGGTGAAGATGTTTGTTGTAAGCTCTAACGTGACCGGTTTATGGTCTCAAGTGTTTAGCTATTAAGCCAGATTCCTTAGCAGACCAAATCTTATGTCATTGATGTGTTCTGACACATTACCTTGATGTTTAAAGAAATGTTTTTGTTGAAGTGGCTTGAGTTTCATCAGAGAGGGTCCAATTAGTTTTCCTTCCCTTGTAGTTAATGCTGCATGTACTAGTCCTCTAGAAATATGTTAGGCTGACACAACTTGATGGAACTCCACAGGGCTTGTTTTCCAAAGAAAAGTGTACCATTTAGAGAAACACAAACTTCCCTAGATGTTGTGTTAAAAACATTAAAGCCGCTCAACAGAGCTTGTGTGTGATGTAGTGCGCTCACAGTATGCTTTAAAAGGTAGCAAATACAGATGAGTTAAAACAGAAAAAAAAAAAATAAGTGGGATCCTGAGGCTATTAAAAACCTCTGTCATTCAATACTTACAGATTTAGTTCTTTCTTTTTAATCTTGAACCATAGTCTATATAATCTCTAGTAAGATACTGGAAAATATTTTATTTTTTTGATTTGTGTTACTTCTTCAGTGTTTCTATTTATTTATTTATTTTTGTTATATGGGATTTTGAACTTATTATCTTGTATTTGGTACCATCCCTTGAATTACATCCCATTCTTTTCTGCTTTAGTTATATTTTAGATAGGGTTTCATGTTTTTGCCCTGCCCACCTCAGACCCAACTCCTCCTATTGTGCCTCTCAAAAGAAGCTATGTTGCAAGATATAAACCACCACACACACCTTAGTGATTAAGATGATGGTCTTACAGAGTTCTTGCTCAGGTTGTCTTTGAACCAACCATACTTCTCCAGATCTCTGCCTCCTGGGATTCGGGCATGTGCCACCATGACCAGTCCTTATTCCTTTCTTTCTTTGATTTATCCTTGAAAACACTTAGCCTACACAATTTTTATGGGCTTTTGTTGTTGTTGTTTTTAATTTTACCATTACTTCAAATATTTCCCAAAGATACCACTAGTGAAAGATTAGTGCTGGAAAACAAAAATAATAGTTTTGTAGTAGTATTGGCTTGATTGTCTTTATTATTTCTATGGCTATTGATCTTTAATATTTTGTGTCATTGATTTGATTCATCACACAAATGAGGGAAAATATGTAGTACTGACAAGTACATTTTTCCATCCATGTTTTAGTTAATGTTTGTTCTTATTTGGTTCCTTGCCATCTTTTCCATTTTAAGGTATTGTTAATATATCATATGTTTTAGCACTCCCTTGTGAGAGCACATCAGATGTTATATGTTTCTCACATTGGTTATTTTATGGAATTTGAGCTATTAAGCCATAATTATGATGTCTCTCAGGATCTAAATCCTTCCTCTATAGTTACAGATTTTAATACTTCTTCCTGTTGCTCTCTACTTACCAGATCTTTTAATTCTTTAAAATTGACTTTCTTGAAATCCAATACTTCTGTGTCACAGAACCAGATGATCCAATTTGCTTTTTTGGCAGATACCATACAAAGCTCTGCCCATTGCAAATTTAACAAAAGACTTCAATGCTCTCTAGGGTACTCCTATTTAAAACAAAGCAAAACACAAAGGATCTAGAAATGCTGAAATTTTATCTCGGCTTTCTTGTGAAGTAACTTAGGCCAATTCTGATTTCAACTTTATCGTTTTATAATGTGAAGGAATAGGAATGATATATTTATAGAAAATATGAAGGTTTTGAAGGAAATGTGGAAGTAGAGCAAAAAATCAGAAGTATAGTAAGATGCAAATATGGTGATACATTATTTTATAAAATGAAGGCTAAGGTTACAGATAGTGGTTTTTTTTTTTAAGATTTGTACCAGCACAAGCTGTGGTTTCTCAACATTTTTTTCTATTATACTAAATAACTAGTCAAGGGTGAGAATGTGTTTTAAAAAAACAAACAAACAACACAAATAAAATAAAATTAAATTTAAAACAAACAAACAAACAATTGGAGTCCAGAGTTTGTTCTGGTATCAGCTTTACCCTCCAGACCCAATTCTGGAACTTTAGCTCTCTGAATAGCCGTGAGCTTTGTTTCCTTATTGCTACTATGGAAGTAATAACAATCTTTGCATCCCATATAGGCTTATTTTAAGGAAGCCTGGTTCATAGAGTTAAAAACAAGCTTAGTGGTGAAGAGATGTTCATGAGCAACTGAAAAGATTGGAAAGCTGGAAGTTGTAAGATAGAAAGTCAGAAGAACTAAAAGTAGTAAGGTTATTCATGGTAACAGAAGACATGAAACTGTTTACAAGAGTGAAAAGAAAATAATTGTTGAAGAAAATTAAAAATATACTTTGTTTGAAAGAGCCTAGGATGATAATAATAATATGAAATTGCTTAATTATGTCTGAATTTCTGAAGAATGTTTGCTTTCATATGTTATAGAAAATACAGATAGGAACTCTCAAAATAATGATGGCATTTTGTCATCCATATTTGTCATCCAAGTTTTATATAACAATGAAAATTATAATTTACAAAATGTAATGACTTAGGTTTTACTTTATCTTTCAGTATACGGCGACATCAAGAAAGGAGAGCTATTTTGACCCCCATTTTGACAGACTTCTCTGTTCGAATTACTGCAGCACCTGCCATTATTTTCACCAAAATCAGTTCTCCAGAAAATCTACATATTGAGGTTAGATTTATTTTGGGGATTTTCACTTTCAGCCCACATGATGTCACATTACTAACCAATCATAACAATTAACCATACTTACTGAGTACTTGCTAGTACTGTTTATTATTGCTGTCTAGATGATAAATCAGCTGATTCTCATAATAATCTCTCAGTTGCTCCTAGTACCCAAATCTTATAGGTAAGGAAACTAAGGCATAGAGAAGATACTTAGTTGGCCAGATTTTCCCTAAAGCAGAGCCAGAGTTCAAACCCAGCTGGTCTGGTTCTAGCCTCTCTACTCAGTTTCTACACCTTCTAATGAAAATAATTACAGTGCTGACAGGTAACATTTAGTTCTCACACAGACTACCTTAGATCCTGTTATCATCCTTAGATTATGAAGAAACACACATAAAAGGATTAAGTAACTTGACCTGTATAAATTAGTGGGTCCAACTTACACTTCTTAAAATAATAGTAATGAGATTTACCATAATTTAAATGAAAGCAAATTATAAACTTTTTTCATAGTTACAGACCTTATCATGACAAATTTTGAAAAAATCACGTATAGTTTAAATACTTAAGTACAGCCCTGACTTTCAGCTGATCAATTTATATTTTTAAAATTTTCAATGGATTAGCGGCTTGGAAAATGACACTACATTAGGATTTTGGACAGTAGCATTGAGGTTCAATGTCAATTAGCCATGTTTTCATGAAGGAAATTACTGATACACCATAGTAGACTGGGTTCCTAAGCCACATGTTGGTAGGCTAGTTTTATTAAGTGCTAAATTTGTCATTGTTGCTTTTGAGACAGGATCTTACTTTACATTGACTGGACTTGAATTCACACTCTTTCTGCCTCCCCTCCCTATAATTCTTTACGTAGTGTTCTGTACCACCATGTTCAGCTCAAATGCACTCTTGACTTACAATATGTTACCAGGCACCAGTGGCTCACTCTCAGGAAACTGAGATCTGAGGATCATGGTTTAAAGCCATCCCAGGCAGGAAAGTCTGTGAAATCATTACCTCCAATAAACTACCAAAAAAAAGTCAGAAATGGAGCTGTGGCTCAAATGGTAGCATGTTAGCTTGAGCAAAAGAATCTCAGGGTCAGTATTCAGGCCAAGTTCAAGCCTCAACACTGTGCCCCCTCCCACAAACATACACACAAATTGCTGTCTTTTTTTTTATTGTTTGTTTGTTTGTTTTTAAACAGTGCTAGAGTTTAGAATTCAGGGTTCCTCAGTTGATAGGCTCACACTACACCACTTGAATACCACCCCTGTCTGGGTTTTTTGGGAAGGAGGATTATTTATCAAATATGTGCTTTTGCCTAGAACAGGCTTTGGACCTTGGTCCTTCTACATCTGTCTCCCAAGTATCTGGGATTACAAGTTGAGTCACATACCTGCTTGTTGTTTGAGATAGGGCTGTATTAACTTTTGGCCCAGGCTAGGCTTGAATCATTATCCTCAAGCTTCTCCCTTGAATATTGATTTTCTCATTGTTAAATAAAGGAGTTTTTGCATATTAATATGAGACAAACCTTACATACCCAATTCTCTAATTCTTTTTTTTTTTGCATGTCCTGGGGCATGAACTCAAGAACTGGATACCGTCCTTGAATTTTCCAAGATAGAACTCTATAACCTGAGCCACAGCTCTACTTCTGACTTTTTGTTAGTTTATTGGAGATAAGAGTTTTACAGGTTTTCTTCTGCCTGGGCTCCTGAAAACTCTTTCCTTGGATTCTTAAGTACTTATCATGAAATTCTGAAACTATTATAAGAATAATATGGCAAAGTATAATAAAAATACCATTCCAGCTTAATTCCCTCACCTTCTTTTTGAAGACATCATTAGAAAGTCTCTCATTCCCACTTTAAAGAGAATGCAGCAGGAGATCACAAAACTTGGTGACAAAGAATTCACAAAAATTAGGATATCGGCTTCAGTCTCTCTTAAATTCCTTCCTCCCCATTTCCCTAAACATGCCTTTACTGCCACAGACATTTATCCCAGTTGGCCTCTTGATTCTTAAGGATCGAACTGATCAAAAAATTATTCTTAAATATATGCTATTAGCTACCCATTGTATTAATTACATCCATATCATTTAACCTACTAGGAAAAGATCAATAATTTGCCATTTTATAAAATTTATGCCGCAAATCAAGCTAATTTTAATAAAAAAAATTCATCCACTTAGGAAATATAAAAATGATATTTTAAACAAATCTTTTGAACCAGAGCCTTTTTTTCATCAGCATCACTTGAAGAATAAAATAAAATCCCAACATAATAAGTGGACGTAGGAAACTTGTAGAAGAAAATTCATTTAACCAAAGAAAAAAGGATAATCATTTCAGACATGCTGTCTTTTCTGACTCTGTTAAATTTGCTGTAAGCTATCTAGTTTGAGTTTGGAGCTGTTATAGTATCCTTAAATCCATTCCCTTGGAAGACACTAATGAGGAAAAGATCTGTTGGATGTTTCCAAGCTTTGAAAATTATCCACATGTGCCTCATAACAAGAGGCAGGGCTTGTGCTTAGTAACTGAAGCTTCTGGATTGCGTTTTCTTTTGTTTTCCTTCTCTAAGTGGTTTTCTAATGATAAACATTCAAATGACTGAGTTGTCCAAAACAGCACTAATTAAGTAGTGGACATCTGCCTAATACGGCCAAGATTTTAGCCCTTTGAGGAAGTGAAATTAGTTTAGCTGTCTTTGGCTTCAGCATTCTACTTTGTAATAAATCATTTTATTTTATCCAGTGGAGAATAGTTATATGACTATTTACAAATGTAAATACATTTGTAAATTCATTTACAATTGTTCTTGCCCACCTGTTTGTTATCTCTGGTTTACATCTGTCTGCCCTCAAGAGTAGGTTGCATTTCAAGACCAAACTTATTTTTGTAATAGTCCTTGGGAGGTGTTTAGCATACTACTATACTTAGGAGATTCTTAGAAAGTATTTGTTAATTTGAATTGATAAATGAGATTCTGCTACAGAACCTCACTCTGCTACAGGATCTCATAATTGTTATGTAATAAATAGTGATGGAAGTTTGAAGTATGAAAAGGCCAAGTGGATGTGAAAAGTTTCTGTTGCTAGTTACTTGATATAAGGCAATATGTCACATAGCAAATCTTTATAAATAATAAATTAATCCATTAAACTATGTCTAGTGATGTGCTCACCATTTTTGTTTTTCTCCTTAAAGTATGAACTTGAGTACCAGTAGACTTTGGAAGTAGAAATAGTCAAATAAGTAAGAATGATAAATTACTTTCTGAAGGCTATCATATTTCTTTATCTATGTTCAATCTTTTTCTTTCCTTCAGGAGATTTTAGTGTGTGGCCATTCCTTGGAAGTAAATATAACCACAAATCTGGACTTCTTCCTAAGTGTGGCTCAAGTTCAACTCTTACATCAGTTAATGGTAGCAAATATGACTGGATTAGAACCATCAAACAAGGCCACAGAGGTAACAATTACCTGATTTTTATTAGGATTATTGAATTTGTGCAATTTTGCAATCAGAAAAAATATAATTAAACTAAATGTCTTCCCCCAATTATTCTTTATATAATTCCATTCAAAATACAGTCATATATCATTTTGGGTTGATGTTCTATGTTTTTGAAATTTGTTTAGTCTGTTCTCTTATTATTTATCATGCAACTTCACAAAATTGCTGTGGACTGACCTCAGAAAGGCCTATGTTAAGACAAGGTTTTATTACCCTGCTGAAAGTCCTAAAATGTGATGCAAAAAACCTGTTAGAGTTTTCATTTTCTCAACTACATGATTAGATAGGGCCTCTTTTGGAGGGCCTCTTTGTAAGAGGCTTGTGGGACTATTTTAATAAGTAATTTGTAAAGTGTTCATTTCCCATGCTCAGTGAAGAATGAATATAATCATAAAAGTTGGATGCTTGCCTAGAATTTTAATTTTGATCCAGTGGTAATGATAGAACCTTTATAAGCCACAAAGCATGTCAGTGTAAAACAAAGAATGCTGCTTGTTAGATGCTCCTTGCATTGTATTTTCTTTGTTTCCATGCTTCTTATATCACAGTTTTACTTAGAATAAATCTTCAAAAGAACCTATGTGAAGCAACTATTATCTGTGAAAAATGTATTGCTTTTATTCTTGCTATGAAATATACAGAAGCATTTTTAAGACCTGCTTATAAAAAAACACAGAAGAATAGGTATTTACTGACCTCCACTTGACATCAGGGAGTGTTTCATGTATGCTAAGTCCCATGTCTTTAGGCATATAGTATCCTAGTGAAGTGTGCATGGGCATTATCCCCATTTTACAGATGAGGCTTTGGGCCATAGAGATTAAGTGACCTGTGTGAAGTCACACATACATATTTAGCTGAAATGTAAGGTACCTGAGAATTTAGAGGTTTTTTTTTTCCTTTTTCATCATAGTTTTATTAGCATTGGTCAGTACTGCAGGTTTTATTTTGTATGCAGACATTGTTCCTTGTTGATGCTCCTCCTGCATCCTTTTCTTTCATTCCTTCTTCCCTCTTTGCCAAGCCAACAAGGGTCATTGTTCTATTTTCATACACACTCATAAAGTCTTTTGACCATGTTCACCCTCGTCCACTCTCTGTTTACCCTAACCTCTCCCACTAGATAGGACCTGTAGTACATTCCTGACATTCGTTTTTTATGTATATTAATTTTTCAAAGGGTCACAGTGTTAATTAGATTGATCTTCTGCTTTACTCTTATTTTCCCCATACTCACTACCCTTCTATTATTCAATAGCTTTCAGTGAGTTGGTTTTTATTCACAAATATAACTTATTTTGGTTTTGTTCATTCTTTTACATTTTCCATTGATGTCATAAATTTAGAATTTTCAAGTCAGTTCCTTTTTCTTCTGCCACCAATCATGTACTGTCACTACTATATTTTTCTTTCAACATTTTTTGTTTCTAAAAGATTTAAGTATTATGAAGCTTTTAATTTTCATAATGAAAGTCTCTAACCATTTACCCCTTATGACTTCTACTTATTCAGTATCTATTTTTAGAAGATTATAAAGCTCTATATATCATCTAAATGTTTAGTTTTCCAGTATACTTCATTTTTTTTCTTTTAGAAATAACATTTTATTATGTTTATTTTTACCTGACAAAAATAGGCCCTGAGGTCAAAACTTTGTACTCAGGGGAAAAAAGCCAAAATGAAGTAAATATATCTTTCAGTAAGTTTCAAGAAAACATTATAATTATGAGAATGAATAAAGCTAAAGAGTGCTAATTTATGATACTATTGATCATTTTTAAATGATAAGAAAATCAGATAAATGAACAAAATCTTAGGAGTTTTTCATTTTATTCCAATTACAGTCACATAACAATGATTGGTATATAGTTTTGAACTTTCGTGAGGTTTAGACTGAAAAGATGAAAAACAAAAAATGTCTATAAAATCATGAATACTAAACATTAACTTGAAATGATTAATTTTTATTGAAGTATAATACATGAATTTTAATAATCAAATATTATTTGATGACATATATTAAAGTAGCTTCCTCTCCTGATACTCCCTTCTCATCCTTCTCTATATTAAGCCCCTTTTACCTCTATAAGCTATTTTCTTCTGGTATTTATACTTATGTTTCTGAATAACTTAAATCAACTGGTATCTCTTAACTCATTTGCTTTTGAACACAGATGAGGGTTCCATCTCTTTTGTGATTCCTTTTTATGCCTCCATCTTTCTAATATTCTTGCATATTATTTTTCCATTAAGTATAGATTGTTTTCATTTTATTTATTTTTTTTCTATTTTCTAGAGTTTATTTTGACAAATATTTATTTATTTATTTATTTTTGGTCTGGTCGTGGGGCCTGAGCGCTATCCCTCAGCTCTTCAGCTCAAGGCTAGCGCTCTTATTTTCATTTTAAAGACTTTGTAAATACTGTTCATTTCTAAGTGAAATAATATAATAGAATTATAGTTCTGTCTTGACAACATTTATTTACTTCATTTCTATTTTTATTTTTTGCACCAATCCTGAGGCTAGAACTCAAGACTTGGACACTGTCCCTGAGCTTCTTTTGCTCAAGGGTTATGCTCTATCATGTGAGCCAGAGCTCTACTTTTGGCTTTTTTTTGGTAGTTTAGAAGAGATAAGAGTCTCACAGACTTTGAACTGTGATCTTCAGATCTCAGCCTCCTGAGTAAGATTATAGATATGAGCCACTAGTGCCCAATTTTTTTACTTTCCATCCCATACCCCACTCACACCAGTGGATCTATATCATGTTTGTCAACTTGCATATTTTTGTCAGGTAAAAATAAACATAATAAAATGTCGTTTCTAAAAGAAAAAAAATGAAGTATACTGGAAAAGTAAACATTTAGAAGACATTTTCCTAAAGTTCTTGTTCTGCATTTTCTAGTTTCTCTAGTTCTCTAGTTCTGCTATCCTACTGCCACCTTAACACAAATGAGCCAGGTGAAATTAGAGTAGGATTTTTGAAGTTGATGTAAAAAGTATGGAGACAAATATATAAAGGAAATAATGTGTTCTATGAATATAAGCTCACAAATTTGTCAGTATCTGTTCCATCATACTCAAATATTAAACATTTTGAGTTACTATAGAAAAGCAGTATAATAGCAAGGAAAATATTGAAATAGAATTTTTATGCCTTGCTATATATTTTTAATGCTTATTATAGAACAAAATAGCGCGGTAGACATTTTTATTGTGTATTATGATTGAATACATGTATAACAAGTGATAGTAGATGTTATTTTGGTTGTAATTTTACTTAATGTTTTAACCTGGAAATACTGTTTTGAAATTACCTAAAAGATGAATTTTTTCTTTTAGTACCAATTAATAATTTCTTGCAGATATAATAGACCTGGACAATTGCTAAGAGTCATTTAAAATAAAAGCTTAGGGGTAATTATAATTATTTCTTTGTATAAACAACAGTTTTTTAATCTATGTAATTTTGATGGAGTTTCCCATTACAAATAGCCATGTCCCATAGACATGCCCAATTATATTTCATCTTCCAGACCCAGTTATTGAATGAGATGTGTTGATAGTGAGATATAAGTGAAGTAACAGAGTTGTTGCATCAACTGTTACTTTAGGTCATGTGAGAAAAGTAATAATAAATTAGTTTGAGCTATTAATATTTGGCTTCCTTTTACATAAGACCAACATTATTCAAAAAGTCTGAGGTGATAAAACGCTGGGAAATACTAAGCACATTATAGAATTAATCCTGAGTAAATACTTGCTAAATGAATTAATAAATGGATTCTTCAGCTTTTAAGAATTTCTAGTTTATTCTTGGAAATAGAAAAGATATATACAACATAAACATTAAAATAAATTTTTAATGATCAACAATTGAGTGCATGTTTTTTATGGATTTTTTTTCTTTTCTCTGTGTGGTAGTCCTGGGGCTTGATTATAAGGCTCATGCACTGTCCCTTGTGTTTTTCTCAAGGCTAGTGCTCTACCACTTGAGCCACAGCTCCACTTCTGACTTTTTGAATGTCCATTGGAGCTTTCTTTCCTGGGCTGGCTAAGAACCACAATCCTCAGATCTCAGCATCCTGATTAGCTAGGATTATAGGTGTGAACCAGTAGAGTCCAACTTATATATATTTTTAATGGAGATGAGTTTTATGTATTTCATTTATATGTTTTATATAAGTCATCATTGAAAGAAAGGGTGTGAAGCATGTGTTGTGCTTAGAGAATAACTTATTTGCACTTTGAAGTTCACATTCATTCATGTAAAGCTATACCTCTCACATTTTGATAGTACTCATGTAGGCATGTAGCCTTCAAAGATAGATATCATAGTTATATTCTCCCAATGTAAGATAAATGAGTACCTATTGTCTGATTAGTTCAGTAAGGAATGGAAATATCTGTACTGTGTAGTATTGTCACCTGGTATCTCTAGATGTTACAGTTACTGAATCTTACTTTCTAATACAGTGAACACAGTATTAAAATAGATGGAGAGGGCTCAGTTTGCCCTGGATTATGTTTACTTGGCTTTGGTAATTATTGTTATTCCTGAATTAGCAAGTAATTATCTTATTAAACCTACTTACAGAAGTGGTATAAGGAGGAACACATGTTCATTTTCAAATCAATGTTTTCAAGTAAATAAAACTTTTATAGTAAAATATAAACCATGTTTTTAGAGGGCAAAGAAGACTAGAACCACATCATTGGTGATGTGTCGTGGGTGTTCTTTGATCCATATACTACATATCCTGAAGAAGAATGAAGACCCTAATTGAGCATTCCTTCCGGTGCCTTTTCCCCTTTCTCCTCCTCCAGTTAACCACTTAACCACTTGGTTTTAGGTACTTCCTTAGCTCTTCCTTCTATACAGCCCCAGCATTTCTATACTTGATAACCTGTCCAATACATGCTTGGTACTTGTTTCTGTACTCTCTTTGATTAG